TGCTTCTGCCTCAGCCTCCTCAGTGCTAGGATTACAGGTGTGCGCCGCTCAGGGGTCATTTTAAATAGTAAAATCACAACAGAAAGCCTGAAAATGCAAAACACACGGCACTAAAGAAGAGGAAAGGGACACTAACTTGTAGTATGAGAGCTAAGACAAGAAAGCAAAGTGTTGCCTTGTTCAACTTCAGCTGGGAGTAGGGGCAGACTGACTCAATTTTCACTCCATGTCTGTCAACAACAAGGAAAGCACTACAAATATTTATTTTATTTTATTTTTTGGTACTGGGGATCAAACTCAGGTCCTTGCACTTGCAAGGCAGGCAGTGGCACCACTGAGATAAATCCCCGTCCCACAAACATTTATTTATTTATTTTCACTAGTACAATCTTGCAGTGTACAATATTGATTTCAGGGTCACAAATTTTAGTGAGTAGGTAAATTCTCAAATACAGAACCCATGAATGAGTGAATGTATACATTTACACACATTAAAAAAAAGTTGAGGAACGTATGTATCAGAATCATCTGAAAATGTAAAGATATTAAGCAATCCTTATTTACCTATTTGTTTACCTGTATCTTTTGATGTTTTCCTGTGATGAAACACTATTTATGCATAAAAAGATAAAAGAGAACAAAAGGGAAAAGAACACATGAAAAGAGAGCACTGAATTAAGAATTAGAACACCCACTCCCACTGGGGCTACCTGTGTGAGTAAGCTGGTGTGTGAACTTCTTCCTCTGCAAAACTGAAGGGTTAGACCAGATGCTCATTGAAGTCATTGTTAGCGCCACTATGGTACAATCCCAGACTAGCAAGGGGCACAAAATCTAACTTGTCAGCTAGTGGGGGCTTCAGACAATCACAGAAGATGGGTAGAGGGGTTCTTTTAGATGGAATAAATAATGTGGATCAGTAGAGAGGTGACAAGATGACATGAGAGCCAACTACAAGAATCTGAACTTAACAGGCAAAAGGAAGGAAGCCTTAAGCACTACTTCAGAAATAAATGATGAAAGCAGTCTTTGCTTTTATAGTGGTACCTCAGTTCGTGAATTTAATTTGTTCCACAATTTTGGGGAAGATGGCCACGTTTGTGTTTGTGTAGGGAAGATGATCATGGGTGTGTTCATCACCTGATGCAGAATTCTCGAATGGAAGCAAAATTTTGCCAGATGCCTCACCAATTTGGTTCACAAACAGAAGTGCTTGTGAACTGAGGCATACAGTACAGTATTTGCTTTTTGTTTTGTTGGTTTTGGTGAGAAAGACTCTCACTAGGATGCTAAGACAGGTCTCCAACTTGTGAGTTAAGTGATCCTCCCTCTAGTGATCTACCTTCTCAAGTAGCTATGACTCCAGGCATGTGCCCCACACCTAGCTGAAAGCATTATTTTAGAAAAATGTTATGTAGAAGATGGCGTGAATACACTACTGTTATTCAGCAGTGGTTAGTTCACGGGAACCAATAGGAGGAAGGCCATTATGGAGAAATGCAGCATGTATTCAGGTATTTCACACTTAAGAAGTCAAACAACTTAAAATTGGCTAGATTTAGGAAGTAAAGAAATAAGCATGGTTATAGAGCTTTACAGTTTATAAGATGGGAAAAAAGAATGAGTCAGAAATGAAGAAATACATTTGAAAAGCTCTTTGGGGAAAGATCATGAGAGACACCTTGAAAAAGACAGGGACACCAAACAGAGATGTCCTTCAGGAAGGCAGTAATGTAAGAAACAAAACAGAGGGAAATATGGCTTTGAAAGTAGAAAAACAAAATAAAATACAGAAAAAATAGGTAAGTTCCAAGGAAGTTAATAATATACCTTATTTACTTCATGTGTTAAAGCTTGAACTGAGTATATGTTCAGACTTCCATTTTCCATAATAGATGCAATGTACCGTCCATGTGGGCTAATTACTGATGAGCTAATTCCTTCATCAAGGCTCCCAATTTCAAAGAGAAGTTTACAAGTCTGTATATTGACAAATCTCATAATACCATCTTGACTTAGCACACCAAGAACCTAGAATAGAGAGAAATGAATTCTTAAAAACACACCTGAAAGGTGAATGTGTGAAAGTCAAACTATGCACATATATTCTATGCATGTGTGTGACACACACAAAATTTGAGTGGGAGAAGCTAGAAGAGATCCTATTCTCCAAAGGTTATGATAAGTTTTTAAGTAACTAAGTATGGCTCATGTTGATTTGCCCTGTTTGGAACCAGACAAGTCTAGCTCTAACCAGAACCAGTAAGGAACACATCTTGAGGGACTATAGGAAAGTGACCTAAGAACATTCCCTTCCTCAGGCAGGCCAAATTCACTGATGTGGTACACAGGGGACAGAGATAATCAGACAGCTCCTAACTTGTACACCACAATGACTGTCAAAAGCAAGGAGAGTGTAGGGGTTTGCTTTCCTCTCCCTGCTATCCTCACAAACCTGTGACTCCTGGTGAGGCACCCTACTGCCTGCCTGTCTTCTGCTATTATAACTAACATTTGCAGAGCAGAGAAAGATTGTGGGCTGCCAGGGTGGTAGAGGGGGAGAAGCAAAGCTAGTCTTTTAAAAGGGAAAAATTTAAATTTTAATTCATATTATTTGAAAAATTAAGAGCATGTAATAAACAAGATGAAGAAAATAAAACCTCTTCCTAGTGGCTATATGCAGTACCACTGTTATCGTCTGTATCTAGGTGTCCCCCCAAAGCTTCATGCAGTCATAGGTGGGGCTTTTTGGAGATAACTGGATCTGGAGTGTGTGCTCACTAAATCAGTCCACTGATTGGTCTGGCATAGTTTTGGGCAGGAGTAAGGGTGCCCCACCCTGGGTGTGAGTGCTAGCTGCTCTAAGGGTGGGTAAACTGGATAAGATATAAGGGACAGAAAGAGGGTCTCAGGTCCCTTGTTGCTTGTTACCTTTGCCGGTGACGAACTGCTTCTCCTCTGTGATGGCCCTCTGCCATGCTACCCTGCCTTGGAGCCAGTGGTTATAGACTGAAACCTCTACAAACTCTGAGCCAAAATAAACCTTTCCTCTTTTAACTTTGGGTATTTTGTCTCAGAAACAAGAAAACTAAGACAACCACCATATGGTTGCTTGAAATGCCAATGTTGCTTGTTATACAAAAAGGTGACAGTCTAGAATCCATTTTATTCTACATGCCTGGTGATAGGAACAAATTCCCTCATGCAGTTGATATGATATGACCCCTTGGCAATATCTCACCCAAATTCAGATGCACAGAATCTTTATGCTATTATCTCTACTCTGGGATTTTATTCTACAAATAAGAAGTATAAAATGGCATTTGCCAAAGGTTATTTACTGCTAATTGTAACAGAAAAAGACTAAAAATAGGTTTGAATACTGAATAATAGAGGACTGGCTGAAAACAAAAAATTATGAAACATTACACAGCTACAAATAGAAGTTCTGTATTATTACAGAATAATCTCTACTTTAAGTGTAAAAAAGGTGCAAAGCTGCATAAAAATGAAGGGAAACATAAACCTCCAGTGGTTGTGAGGCAGGGCATATGAATAACTAGACAAATGAGAGAGGTGTGAGAGATTTACCACTGTGTGCCTTCTTGTAAGTTTTAGATTTTGTTTTTTGGTACTGGGATCGAACTTGGGACTTTGCATTTGTGAGGCAGTTGGCAGAACCACTGAGCTAAATCCGTGGTCCATGTTTTAGATTTTTAACCAAGAGAATACAGAGCCTATTCAAAAACTCAAGTAAAACAGATATATGTATACATACAGAATGTGCTTTTATGTATCATAAGAAGTGACTGAAAAACAGTGAATGTTTTAATTTTTTTTTTTGGTGCCAGGGATCGAACTCAGGCCCACTGAGCTAAATCCCCAGCCCTAATGTTTTAATTTTTAAAAATTTATTACAGTAAAAACACATTTAAAGGGAGACAAGCGGCAATGTGTCTTTTACTGTAATGTTTTAAAATATTTTTAGAAATTCACTATAATTTTTTATTAAACCTCAAAAAACATGTATATAATTTGTTGAAGTGTAAGAGCCATGACAGTCAATTTAAAATAAGAATGTTAAGGTAATTTCTGTCAGTAATATAAAGAACAAAAGACTGAAACTTTTTCAATTCCAGCCTCTTCACAAAAATAAGTTGTAGTTGCAACTTCAGATTCTTATCAGTCAGGGTATAATTTAAATATGTAAGAGCTAATACAGTTCAGAAATTGATGCGATCTTTCTCGAAAAGCATATCTTAGATTTCTCTTACTAACCTGATTTGAACCAGCATCAAAACTATCAGGAAGAAATTCCAGATGTCGAATAGCTCTCACTTTAGTAGGCATCTGGATAATTCTGAAGAGCTGTGTAGCTTCTAGGCACCACACATGAAGATGGTTTGATTTGCCTCCAGCAGCCAGGGTTCGGCCATCTCTATATAACAAGAAGGTAAAAAAGTAAAGTTAGTTCAATTTTTATGGGAGCACTGGGCAGTAATATCTGCTGTGATGACAGAAATATTCTGCATCTATGATGGTCAACATGGGCACCACTAACCACATATGATCACTGAACTTTAAAAACATGGCTAGTGTTACTGAGAGAATTAAGCTTTTCTATATTTATTAGTCACAGGTAGCCAATGGCTATTATATATAGGACAGCTCATGGGAGATATATATATATATTCCACAATCTCAATGTCATTTATCATTATCCAACCTTCTGCATTTCATATATGATTATACTGAACTGGTTAAAAAAAAAGGCCAAACATTTTCCCTGTCTCTAGAAAGCTACGTGATAAGGTAGGTACACAACGAGTAAGTTACATTGACCTGCAAGGTTGATGCTTGCTTATTCAACAAGGACTTGTAAAGTAACTAATATAATCCAGCTTTCATTCCAGGATCCAGGGGCAGAGGAATAAACATGTCAGATAAGACTGGACAAGTTAGTTAATCCTGCTCTCACAGGAATTTCTTTTTAGAGGAAGATAAACAAATGAACTGATGATCCCAGCTGGTGCCAAATTCTATACAGTACTATAAAAGGAGATGATGAAAGCTGGGAAAGGAGGAAGATCTGCTACTACCTGAATGACATAGGATAATTTGGAGGAAGAATTCTATACTGGTCAGAATTCCAGAATGGCCAGCACAGAAGGACTGCAAAAGGAATAAGGTTAGTACATTAGGAAAAGTAAGAAGCTGTACTCAAGTGTGGCTGGAGCAGATTAAGGGGAAGGAGGTTAGATAAAGAGGGAAGCCTAGGCAGGTGAAAGAAGGCATCAGGGTATTTGCTGGGGAGTGAAGATTTTACTGAGTGTAGTGGAAAGCCTTTCAAGGGAGTCAAACAGAAAAGTGACATGAACTGGCTTAACGATTTACAATGACCACTCCACCTGCGGCAGAGACTGATTTCTAGGAAATGGAAAATGGAGACCAAGGAGGTTATTACAGTAGTCTGAAAGCTATTAGGCTTGCTTGTACTAGGGTAAGATCTGTGACAATGGACAAAGAATTGCTCAATTTTATAGTTTGGTAGAGTTGATAGGATTTACTGATAAAGGGAGAGAAAAAAGAGAAATCAATATATGTTTCCTAGCCCTTTCCACTGAAAAAGCCTAGAAAAAATTATCAGCCCAATCAAAGAGTACCCCTAGCTACAGACTAGGGTCTTCAAGTGCCATTTTCCACTAAACTGAACTTACACTCTTTAGAGAAATAACTGATTTCAGGCTTGAGAGAGGAAATGTATACAAGATAAACTTGGAACATCTAGTCATACCAGAAAGCACAAAAGCTACCAAGACAACTGAGGTGATATCAAAAGTATTTAAAAGGGAATTTGAAGAGGATCCAACTGGTCGATGATGAGAGAATGGGAGCATACTAAGAATACTAGCTGCAATGAATTAAAACTTGCCAACATGTTAAATCATATGTTTGCAAAATTTAAAGATGAAAAACTTCAAGGCTACCTTTGTAAGATGCCAATAAACCAATTCATTACTTTGAAAATTGGTTTAAGAAAAACAAGGGAAGAAATCAAGCATTTATTCTCTTTCCTTTATAAACTGTATATCAAAGTAACCAAATAATTGATGAAACTTTGTTTTTGCACTAGATTCCTAACTAATAAGTGACAGAATTAGAACTAGTTAGTAAGTGAAGAATAAGTGGTAGATAGCACCACGGTGTCAACCCTTTCAGGCAATTCTGGGTATCTAGGTAACGATCATCAAGGCCATTCAAATCAAAGAGAAATGTTTAGGTTCTTCCTGATCAAAGTACAGAAATCACTTATTTTCCTGCTCTTGACTCAAATTAAGCCTCTATAGTTTTTAGGAAATGCAAGTTTAACCAGTGCACAGGCAACATAAAGGACAGAGGATCATATTAAAGACTACCACATGGACACAGCAAAATCTGGAATATAGAAAATACCCAGGAGAGTCAACCACTTAAATTACAAGGAAAAAAAAAAAAACTGAAAAAGGAAGTATCAACAAATACAATGTGGGAACTTTGCTCCTGACTTGGAACAGATCTGTCATTAAAAAATAGTTAGACAAATCAGGAAAATTTTAACAATGACTATATGATGATATTAAACGCTAATTTTATTTTTTCCACCAAGTTTATTGGTACATTTTAGGTATACAGTATAGTTAATTCATCACTGGGATCTTGGACCTTTACATGATGTATCTAAATGCTAATTTTTAAAACATGTAACAATAACTATGGTTTTAAAAGAGCCCTTATTTTTTAGAGATATATATATTGAAATACTGATAGATGAAACACCATGCTTAAGTTTTACTCCAGAACAATACACAAAAGAAGTAAGCAGTTATAGATAAAAATAGGAGTAGCTGTTAATTAATGATCACTATAGATGATGAGGGTACTTTATAGGTTCATGTACTCTATTTTGGGGTGTATTTCAAATTTTGCAATGTAAAGTAAAAACAAAAACAAGGTCTACAAACTGAATTTAGTAACACTTTTTGAGGGGTGGGTAATGAGGACAGAACTTGGGTCTTTGAGCTTGCGAGGCAGGGAGCAGAACCACTGAGCTAAATTCCTGGCCCCTGCAAACTGAATTTAAATTTGAAGGAAATGTTTTCTCATATGGCAAAGAAGATATGGAATGGAAATTTGTAATTATAAAGCAGAAATTAAATTTCTTAATTCCTACAGTCTTAAAACATACATTACCTGGTCACAGCAAATACTTTGTATAAGATACTAGAGCTTTCAGGTGGAGCTGGCAATTGATATTTACAAAAAAGAGTATCACACTCCCAGGCAAAGATGGAATTATCTTTAAAACAGCTGAGAATAGTATTACTTAAAGGTAGGAAGAAAACCTAGAGAGAAGGACACACAAAGTTATTTTTCTACATAAGCTTCAGATGGTTCTTTTAAATTTAAAGTTATACAAGTGGTTGATTTTTTAAAAAATGATCTTAAACTACAGAAAAATGCATTAATAATATGACTACATATGTTATATTTCATAAACCATAACAAAGTAAAAGAAAATGGTAAAACCCTTTCAAATATAAAAGCAGGTGACTATCATGAGTAGGCAATTTAAAAAATTCAAGTAATAATATAAACTTTTTCATCTTATTAAAAAATTCACACGAAAGTGAGATTCCATTTTAAGTATCAAATTTGTATAAAATCAATGTCATATATGTATACAAACTATCTGTACATTCACACTCACTAACACACACTTATGAACTAGCCAGCAGCCACCTGTCTCCTCATGCTCTCTGCTGTCTCACAGAGCACAGCTGACCAGCGACATGACAGCACTACGAGGCTGCAGCACAATCCACCACTCAGGTCTGTGGTGACAATGGTGCAAACACACCCAAAAGTCATCTTGGAACATACCAGGTAATTAAAACTATGTAAATGGATTAATACCAATGGGACACAATAAAAACGGTAATTAAACTACATAAGATACTGGTAAATCAGGCAAGAGCCTGATTGAGATCCTCACTTTTGCCTTTGACTCACTTTGCCAAAGACAAGCTCTGGGGTACTCTTATGGTTTAGATCTAGAGTGTCCTCCAAAAAGGCTCATGTAATCAGAGTTGGGCTTTGAGAGGAGACTGCATTCTGCAAGTGTCGCAGCTGGCTTGCTGTTGGGTGGGACCTAGTTAGAGGCAGGTTATTAGAAGCAGGACCTGGAGGGGCTTCTCCCTCCCCAGTTCTTCCCTTTGCTCTGAGCTTCCTGGCCATCACTACATGGGCAGCTTTCCTCCACTGGTGCTCTTCCACTGTGCCATTTCTGCCTTGAAGTCTACCAACCAGGAACTACAACTTCTGAAACTGCAAGCCAAAGTAAATCTCTCCTCCTTTAAGTTATGGGTATTAGGTCTTGTGTTGCAGCCAAAAGAAACTAAGACAGAGACCTGGGTAGGAGTCATTGTGTTAGGAAGATTTATAATATGGGAGTCTGAGAGAGAGAATTTGTAATGAATATACTGTATATTTTCTAATGAATATACTGTATATGAATGCATTAAGACACTTTCAAAATTAATGTCAAAGTGACTTAAGAAAATTCTTATTATAACTAAGTCTTTTTTTTTTTTAAGAAAACTTATAAAGTTTATTCCTACTGGATGAAGCAAAAGCTTAAAAATTAATGAGCATCATCTGCTATTTTGGGATATGGCTGTGACAGATTACTGCTTGATGATTATTCATTACTAGATTTGTGATTTTAACTGCCAGATTTTAATGATTATAAAATTGTTCCTAATGAATCATGTCATTATTATTTACATAGTGTCATATCTCCCTCTTTCTCTCTCTGCCTCTCTCTCTCTTCCAGTACTGGGGACTGAACATAGTGATCTTTTCACTGAGTTACATTCCCAGTCCTTTTTTGTTTTTTACTTTGAGATAGGGTCTTGTAAAGCCACTAAGTTGCCCAGACTGGGCTTGAACCTGTGATCCTGCTGCCTGAGCCTCCAAGAGTGCTGAGATTGCAGATATGACTCAGCCCACAGGGCCATAATGTCATCTCATAGACAAAATAAAAATCTTATGCAAAACTTCAAAAAATTAACAAAACATACTTTCTGTGGGTTTAGTTAATGGAGCTGTAGCTTGTCCTTTAATAATATGAAAATCCTAAACTTTCTATGTTATTCTGTTGCCATTACAAAATATCTGATGCTAACAATTTATAAAGAAAAGGTTAATTTATTGTTTTTCGGTATTGGGATCAATCTCAGGACCTTGAGCTTATGAGGCAGGCACGGCACCACTGAGCTAAATCTCCAGCACCCAGAAAAAAGGTTTATTTATTTAGCTCATACTTCTGGAGGTCCAAGAACATAGTGCCTCCTTCTGCTCAGCGCTGGGAGGGCCTTCTAGTTACATTACAACACAGCATCATGGTGGGAGTATTGAGTGGCTGGAAGCCACAGGGATTCAGGAGCCAGGCTTGCTTCTTTTACAACTCTCTACACTTATAATCCCTCCCAAGGGTGGAGCCCCTAGCGAAGGCTGCATTTTACAAAGCTTCTACCACTTCCTTAACACAGCCACACCAAGGACCAAGCTCCCAGCGTGCGTTCTCAAACCATATCCAATTCACCACTTACTAATTCAATTCTGTTGCTGCTGTTTGTTTTTCAGTACCAAGGATCAAACCCGGTGAGCTAAATCCCCTTTTATTTTTTCATTTTGAGACAGGGTCTTGCTAAATTACACAGACAGAACTCAAACTTGCAATCTGCCTCAGCCTTCCTTGTGCTAGGATCAGAAGTGTGCATCACCATGCCTGGCTTCCAATTGAGTTTTTTGGTACCGGGGATCCAACTCGACCTCGTGCTTGCGAGGCAGGCAGCGGCACCACTGAGCTAAATCCCAAGCTCCAATTCAGTTTTGAGAGGTTTGTGAGCGCTTATCAAAGTTCAAGAAGAGTCCAAGACAGTATTATCGGGAGGCATTGGTGGTACAGTGGTTAGCATAGCTGTCTTCCAAGACAGTATTATCAGCAAGATAAAGTCAAATGTATAATTGGGTAAAAATTGAGTGCCCAATGTATACAAAGACTCAATTAAAAGCAGCACTCTTTATTAACTGTTGCCTGATATCCATCACAAATGCTTTCCCATACATAGGGGACTACAGTAATCACAAATCCCACCATTCACTCCAAAGTGCACAGTGAAGAACTGAAAATTCCACCTCAAACAATCAACAAAGAATTAAAATTTACCAATTTAACTCTGTAACTGGCTTACCTAAGAAGGAAGAGTAATGTAATACAATGATTTTAAGACAGCTTTGAATTCAAACTGCAACTCTCTTTGTAATATACTGGACAATGGTTTCCTCTTCTATAAAAGGGGAAGATCATGTCTACCTTTTAAGATTATATAAGCTGAAAAATAACTACACAAAGTGCAAAACAGGTACCCAACAACTGATATATTAGTATTACTGCTGTTACTACACCCTAAAATCTACGGAAAGTGGGCATGGTGGTACAGGACTGTAATCCCAGAACTCTGGAAGGCTGAAGCAGGACAATCCCAAGTGTGAGCTCAACCTAGGCAGAGACTTAGAGATTTACCAAGACTGTCTCAAAACAAAAACAACTAAGGCCAAACCATATTTTGCCAATGGTTAAACACTTGTTTTAAACTGGACCTTGCAGCACACATGCCTGTAATCTTAGCACTTGGGAGGCAGAGGCAGGAGGATTGCTGTGAGTTTGAGCCCAGTCTGAACTACAAAGTAACATTCTGTCTCAAAAACAAAAAAAACCTTGAGCCGGGTGTGGCGGCACACACCCGTACTCTCAGCACTCAGGAGGCTGAGGCAGGAGGATCGCTGTGAGTTCGAGACCAGACTGGGCTACACAGTGAGTTCCAAGTCAGTCTCAACTACATAGTGAGACCCTGTCTCAAAAAACCAAAACAAACAAACAAACAAACAAACAAAAACCTTGGAGTTTTGACTTGCTAACACAGAACTGTGCACCTAGATAAGGCAGTTAAAAAAAAAACAACAACTTTTTTTTCCCCCAGTACTGGGGATCAAACTCAGGACCTTGCACTTGCAAGGCAGGCACAGTGCTGCTGAGCTAAATCACCAGCCCTAACAACATTATCTTATAGCTTTTTAAGAACACATCTAATTGCACTGAAAAAAACCCTCATAATATATCTTGATAATAACAATAACAGAAGCAACATAACTTTGATTTTTTGTGTTTTTTTTTTGAGACAGGGTCTCACCATGTAGTTGAGACTGACCTGGAACCCACTATGCAGCCCAGGCTGGTTTCAAACTCATATCAATCCTCCTACCTTAGGCCCCTGAGTGCTGGGATTACAGGCGCGCACCACCACGACTGGCAACATAACTTCTACTTTACTAAGCATTTATTACACTATCAGCACCATCCTAAGTGCTATGCACACATTAGTGCTGAAATCAATTCCAAAGCAGATATCACTATTTTCACCTAACACATAGGTAAACAGCTTATCAGGAAGTTTAATATAAATCTACTCAAATTTTCTAGCTAACTTCTAGTTTATAAGAAATGCAAGGGAGAAAAAAAAATAAGTTAAACAATAAGAAACAGGAGGAAAAATTCAGAATGTGGGTCATTTTCCTAGACAAATGGCCTCTCAAAAAAAAAAAAAAAATCAAGTCAAAAAGTGGGACAGTATTTAAATTCCTATCATAAAATGAGCTTCATAGCAAAATACTTATAGAAAGTTACTTCGTGGGCATCCATGTAACTCCTAATTAAATGAATAAACAAACAAATAAACGTTCTATTTAAAATACAGACTCTAGGGCTGGGGACTTAGCTTAGTGGTTCCAGTACCTGTCTTGCAAGTGCAAGGTCTGGAGTTCGATCCCGGTACCAAAACTAATAACAAAATAAAATATAGACTCTGAACCTGGAATAAATATACAAATTTAGTAAAAAATTGAAAAAAAATTTTACTTTAAGATTAAAATCACATTTTTTTCCTATTTTCAACAATATAAGCCACTGGTGATAATCATCTGGCCTATCTCCAATTTTTATACAGCCCAGGAGCTAAAAATGTCTTATATTTTTAAATGGCTACATTTTAAACAGGTATATAGCTTTGCTGCTGGCCTACAAAGTCTGCTGGTAACTTCCAGATCATGGTGTTCTTCTATTTCAGAATATATTTATATGCATATATCACTCTACATATACATTTTCTAAATTTAATTTTATTCTTTTACTGCTAATATTTGGGGTCCTATGTTTTAGAATAAAATGTCCAAATGACCAAGCAAGGTTAGCATTGGCAACTATCCAGTGTATACAACTTTAATTTTTTTTTTTTTTTTTTTTGGTACTGGGGATCAAACTCAGGACCTTGTTTGCGAGGCAGGTGGTAGAACCACTGAGCTAAATCCCCAGCCCTACAACTTTAATTTCATGACAAAAAGAACAGATGGTTTTTGTATCACTGTTCCATAACTCCGCTTCCACTGTGATTTAAACTCCCAGTGCTCTGTTCTTTGGAATTTAAAATTCAATTTAAAAGCTAAAACAATTAAAGAAAAGACCTACTAAGACTAAATCCCTAAGAATAAATTTGCTACAACTTTTATCTCTTTTTAATTATTAAAGGTATACCAAAGAACTCCAGAATTTCCAGGGAGACTATAAAATAAAGTTTTGGTCGACATGCATTACTAGCTGTTCATATTAAAAGCTAACAAATTAAAAACAATACTGCATATATAATACAGCCTAAAGCAATTATTCATATGGGTAACTAAGATATGCCTGAAAATAGTATTTAGCTAATCAAATAGAAAAAACTTAAACCTTAAAAACAAGAGAAATGGATATTTTTTAAAAGGTG